AGGGCTGTCCTTGGGGCACGAGCCTCTGCACCTCGCGGTCCGTGGGCTCCAGGCCCTCCTGTGCTCTCCTGGTTTCTTCGGCAAGTCTCCCTTGACAGTCTGGGCTCTCTGGGCTACATTGAGGGGAGGGGTTGTGAGCATCTGTCTCCTTCGAGGCCAGGGTGGCTGGGAGAAGCTGGCTTTCCTTGAGCCCAGGGGGCTGTTGACCCTGTTGCTATAAATCAGGGGACTCCTTGGGAAAGTGAGAGGGGGTCCTGAAGAGGGTGGCTCTCTGACAAATTCTGCGGGACATCAGGGGAGAGAGGGCCAGAGTGGGGTGACTGCCAGAGGGCCCTGGAGGTTGGCAAGGAAGGGGGAGACAAACATTCAAGGAATACTTCATGGGGGAGGCAATGTGGAACTGTGCCTTAAGGACAGTTCCTTGAGGGTTGATTGGCAGACAAGGGCACTTGGAATAAAAGCAGTCTCTTCTGTGGCTGCAGGCTCCTTTCTTTTCCACCTTCCATCATGCCCAGGTCTCTCTGTCCCAGGGCCTTTGCTGTTACAGTTCCTTCTGGCTACCCCTCTCGTTCCAGAGCTTTGCACCGCTGCTTTCTCCTCCTTGACATCTTCACTGAAGCCCAGAGAAGCTTCCTTGACCACTCTCTGAATTCTCCCTCCCTCCAGGCTCTCCTCCTCACATTACCTTGTGTTATTGTCTTTGTAGAGGTAGGGGGGAGACATGGAAGTGTAACCAAACCACTCACTAGATATGAAAATGTATACTGTCAGGCTGGGCATGGTGGCTCAAGCCCGTAATCCCAGCACACCGGGAGGCCGAGGCGGGTGGATCACGAGGTCAAGAGATCGAGACCATCTTGGTCAACATGGTGAAACCCCATCTCTACTAAAAATACAAAAAATACAAAAAATTAGCTGGATATGGTGGCGTGTGCCTGTAATCCCAGCTACTCAGGAGGCTGAGGCAGGAGAATTGTCTGAACCCAGGAGGCAGAGGTTGCGGTGAGCCGAGATCTTGCCATTACACTCCAGCCTGGGTAACAAGAGCAAAACTCCGTCTCCAAAAAAAGAAAAAAGAAAATGTATACTGTCTTCTTCCCATGCCCACCCCCTTCCCAATTAGAAGGTAAACTCCTGAGAGCAAGGCCCCATCTGTTGGGTTCACTGCAATACTACCAGCACCTGGAACAGCACCTGACTTGGGACAGGCCTCCATCAGGACAGTGCTGGGTGGATCAAGGGAAGGAAGGAAGGATGGAAGGAAAGAAGAAAAGGCAGGGGAAGTCTTCCAAGAATGAATGGCATTCCAGGAGGCAGAAAAGGCAGGGAAGAGGGAGTCGTACGTGTATGTATAGACACTGTGAGTGTGAAGAAGAGAGGTTGCCAGGAATGGATCAGCCTGCTCAGACCAGAAGAGGTCCCAGGCAGCTTCTATAATCAGTGCAGATGGGTCCTACCTAGTTCATGGAGGTTGCTACCAAACTCTTCACGGCTGGTGTGGGGACCTGGCCAGTGGAACTGGCCGCTTTCAGGACTGTGTCTGGAGATTCTACTTGTTGAGGGCTCCAGGTCCTGGCTCTCACAGGAGCCCTGGAGGCTGTGGTTGGTCTAGGGGTTTAGCTGTTCTCATCTCCTTCACATGGAGAATAAAATCTAAGGTCCTCATGGTGGCTCTCAAGGCCTTACATGATCCAAGCCCAAAGGTCATGGCTCCCCGCCACTCTCTAAGCTTTAAAACCTCAGGTTGAAACCCCAGCTCAGCCACTTGATGGCTGTGTGACTTCGGACAGGTCTTTCAACCTCTCTGAGCTGCTATCTCCTCTAGGATAAAATGGGCCTGGTTAAAGTACTTGCTTCAAGGTTGTTGCGAGGGAGGGAATTCAGTGAAAAGCTTTTAGTGTGCACCTGCTGTGCACCGAGCACTTAGCTACCATTAACCCTGCCCTCACTCCTCCTCTGCCCGCTAAAGTCCCCACTACAAATCAGTCTTAGGGCTTCTGGAGGGAGCATCCATAGATCCCAGGCCCCAGACGAGGACACCGAAGTCCCCTTGGATAAGGGACCTGTTTCAGGGTCACACAGTCAGCCTGCGGCTTGGGTGGGACTTGAACCCAGGACTCACACCAGATGCCCCCACTCTTTCGCTGGTCTCACCTCTTCCCAGCCCAGTGTGGCAGGAAGAGGGACCTCCAGTTACTGCTTGGACGCTGCTTTCAGCACTGAGTGAATCTGATGAGTTAGGTCTGTTTCATGCCCCGTGCAATCTTCCTCGCAATGCTCATCAGGTTCCTGGGGCAGCATCTGCATGGCTTCGAAGGCTCTGGCAGAAGCTGAGCCTCCCCGTCAAAAGGCTGCATTACATTTACAAGAGGCCTTTAATGCCCTGTGGTCTCGGCTTCCTTAATGGGGATTTTCCTCCTCCTCCTTTTTCTCTCCCCCTTTTATATGGTCACCGGTTTGGCTTTCGGAGTGCGGTTTGGATTCCTAACAGAGAAATCAAGACTGGAGAATCCCTTCCAGGCCCTGCCTCCCTCTCTCCCCTACTGGCGGACGGTGCCAAAGCCCTGGGAACAGAAAACGCTGGTCCTGTTGGGATTTCAGCGGGAAAGAGGGAAGCCCCATTGGGCTTCCAAAAACTAAGCTGGGAATTGGCTTGTTCAGAAATTCTCCTCTGACCCTGCAAGTGAGCAGCAGATCCAGGAGCCTGGTGGGGAGGACAGGGCAGCCTCAGGCTCAGTGGCCCAGTGGCCTCACTCAGAGTGCAGCTCTAGGGTCCTGTGCCTGGGGCCAGCGTGGGGAGGAGTCAGGTGGCTCCTCTCTCCTACCTCCCTATCCCACCTTAGCCTTCCCTCCTCTGGACCTCATACACCTGCAGGGAGGCCTCAGTGCTCCTTAACTAGATTTTAAAATGAGTTCTATCTGCAACTACATCAGGAATGATCTAAGACCCAGCCAGAGCTTTGGCCAATGCTGAGGTGGAGGACTGGGAAAGGGACCTCATTTACCTCCCCATCTCCCTCCTTTCCTTTTCGTCCCCTGACAGGATGAGAAAGGACAGGAGTGCCATTTTTGGAGGCTGAGGCCCTGCTCCATGCAGGTTTGTGGGCCCTGCCCCTGCCCTCCTGTGGCCCCCCCAGATTTCCTCTGTATCTCAGATGGTCACAGGGCCCTGCTCATACGGCTGAACCACCGGTGTCACTGAGTCCAGCCATCACTCAGTTCCTGACAGACAACCGCCTGAGGTAGAAAGGTCCAGAATTCCAGCCCCAGGACCACCCATCTTCTTGGCAGTCCTGAGCACAGGTCTCCTCGTGTTTTCACTATTACACAGCATCCCCCTGGCCCCACACATGTAGCCTGTGGCATGCGAACAATCAAGTGACAGCCAACCAAAAAAGGGTAGGAGGCAAAGAGGCAAAGGAATCCCGAATCTGTAACATCTTCCCCCAAGGAGCAGCGGCGTCTCCAGTGTCTGGATAAATCATGTTTTATCTCCTTTCAAAAGGAACGCAAAGCAGAGCCACTTCATCTTGACGACGTTGTCTGTCTGCACAGTGTTGTCCATCTGACAGGGAGAGGGCCCACTCTCTGGCTTCAGAGAGGAGAGGAGGAAGGAGAGCTTGAGCAAGAGTCCAGGAGAGGAACAAAAATGACCCAGCAAGCTCATTGAGCATCTGCTGAATGCTAATCCTAGTGCTCCACAGAGTGTGGGGGCAGGCAGGAGGGGTGAGCTGCAGAGCCATCACGGAGAGATGAGAGACCCACAGGAAGCAAGTCACATGCCATGGGACACGCTCACACGTTCCACTGTCTGACTTCAGCAGGGCTGGCGACCAGTGCTCGTGGTGGCAGGGAAGTCAGGGATGGCTGCAGCTGTGGTTTTCATAGCCCCCGGGTTCTCTGTCTGTTCACCTCTGGCTGCCAAAAGGCTGCTCACGGGAGCCACTGGGGCTCTCTACCTCAGGGCTTTGTCTAGCCGTGGGTGCACACTCAGAAGACATGCTGGAGTTAACGCCCTCAGAGACAGCCCTCAGTGACAGACAGGGAGCTGGTGGGTAGATCCCTAGCTTCCGAGTGCCAGATACATTCTCTGTTGTCTCCTGGAGCCCCCCGCCCAGCAGAATTGAGCTCCGATTGCCCACCATGACTAACTGGGCTGATAATACTTGCTTCCCCTTGCTGCCCTTACTGTCCCACTCCCCTAATATTTCTTGGGGATCACCTCCAAAATAAACAAATGCCAGTCAAATCCTTGTTTCTGGGGACACGTCTGGATTCAGATTCTAAATTTCACAGACTAGAAAAGGACTATGCCTTGACGCATTTGTTGCCATTGAATGTGGCCAGCTTGGGAGAGCCAGCTGGGAAGGGCTGAGGGGCTGGCATTTCCTCTAAGCCTTGCTCATACCTGCAGTGGGGTGTCCCAGCCCAGCTGGCAGCAGCCCATATGGCTGGAGGCTGCATGCACACAGAGGCCAGGAAATACTCAGATTGGGACAGCCGTGCTTCCCTTGGTATTGCCTTGTGCCCGCCCTGGAAGGAGCCACCCACCTAGACTAAGAATAGGAATTCCTGCCCAGCTGGCAGGAACGAATGCCGATTTCTCAAGGAGGGATGGGCCTGAAAACAAAGCGTAGCATGTGGGCTGGGCTCTACTTTGTGTTGATTTGCAAGGTCACTTGAGAGCCGCACCCACTCCGGGCATTCATCGATCCTACCATTAGATCCAGGCGAGGTGGCCTGGCCAAGTCGCTCATTGAATCCCAAGATGGCAGCCTCCAGGGCTCCTCACCTGCCAGAGAGGTCCTGGGCTCTCAGCCTAGGGCGCCTCCTGCCCTCCAGGAAAGGTGACCGCTCCTCTCTTGTTTCCTCGACCATGGACAGGGGTGGTGGCAGGTATTGCTGGACTAAGATGCTGAGAAGCCAGGGGAGTGGGGAATGAGAGGGTCCCTGTGGCAGTTTTAGCCAGAATTCCCTACTCATGAGCATCTCTCTTCCAGGCAAGATCCTCTTCCGCAGAAGCCACATCCGGGATGTAGCTGTGAAGAGGCTGAAGCCTATCGATGAGTACTGCCGGGTAAGAGTGTGTCTGGGGCTGGGGGAGGGGCTCAGGGAGGGCTCCGGGGAGGGGAGGGGAGGGGAGGGGCCCATCTGCCTGAGTCTGTCCATCTGTGAAAGAAGGCTGCTGTACAGAACCCTCCTGAGGCCTGGTGTTTCCTGGCCAGAGGGTTAGGCCTGGGGTCACCCCGTAGTTGGGCCACTCTCTGGGACACAAAGACCTCAGGTTCACAGCTAAGCCTCTGTGCCTGTCAGGACATATCCATGTTTACAAAACACGGCTTTAAGTCACTTCCTGTGGGAAGTGAACTGAACTCAGGAGCTAAGTCAAAGAGCCTCCTGCTCCTTCCTGCTTGCTTCTCTATGTGGGATTCTGCTGTACATAGAAGGACTGTTTCTTTGAATTCCGGTTGGGATGTTGTGGAATCAGTTTAATAGCATCAGCAGCGCACATTTGTTAATTTCCCTATATCTTGGTAACTACAAATGTTCATATACACATCTTTACAGATGCAGGTGTTCACACACACACACACACGCACATGCGCGCGCGCGCGCGCGCACACACACACACACATATTAACATAGCCAGTGCCAAAGAGCAGGCAGGAGAAGGACAGCAGTGTCATGTGCCAGAGCCCACCTGTCTGTCTGCTTGATTAGAGCCCAGCGCTCCTGCAGTGAGCATGAGCGGCTATCAGAGGCTCTCAGTTTCCTTTGCACATGGCCTCTGGAGGGCCAGACTTCCCGGGTTCAAAGCCTTGACTAATTTCGTGAACTTGGGCAAGTTGCTTAACTTCCCGGAGCCTCAATTTCCACGTGTCCAGTAGGGAGGTGAACACACAGGGTGCCTCCACACAGGGGGGTCACGAGGATGGGATGAGCTGGCACATTGTAGGGCAGCAGCACACCATCTGGCTCAGAGGAAGCATTCAGCAGATGCTTTTATGATTATTTTTACAAAGGGCAAACAATTTGTTTTTAAAAAACAAGCAAATGAAAGGCTTTATTTTTTATTTTATTTATTTATTTATTTTGGTGAGACAAAGTCTTGCTCTGTGGCCCAGGCTGGAGTGCAGTGGCACCATCTCGGCTCACTGTAATCTCCACCTACTGGGTTCAAGCAATTCTTGTGCCTCAGCCTTCTGAGTAACTGGGATTATAGGTGTGCGCCACCGCGCCTGGCTAATTTTTGTATATTTGGTAGAGACGTGGTTTTGCCATGTTGACCAGGCTGTTCTCAAACTCCTGGCCTCAAGCGATCCGCCTGTTTCAGCCTCCCAAAGTGCTGGGATTACAGATGTAAGCCACAGCACCTGGCCTTTTTTTTTTTTTTTTTTTTTTTTTGAGATGGAGTCTCCCTCTGTTGCCCAGGCTGGAATGCAGTGGCGCGATCTCCACTCTCTGCAACCTCCACCTCCCAGGTTCAAGCGATTCTCCTACCTCAGCCTCCTGAGTAGCTGGGATTACAGGTGCGCACCACCATGCCCAGCCAATTTTTGTATTTTTAGTAGAGACGGGGTTTCACCATGTTGGTCAGGCTGGTCTAGAACCCCTGACCTTGTGATCCGCCCCTCTTGGCCTCCCAAAGTGCTGGGATTACAGGCGTGAGCCACCGTGCCCAGCCCCCGGCCATATTTTTAACGTGCTTTCAAGACAGGGTCTCATTCTGTTGCCCAGGCTGGTGAAAGGTTTTATTAAAAGCAAATAAAAAGTTAAAAGGCAAATAAAAAATAAAAAGAAGAAAATAAAAAAGCAAACATGAAATAATTTAATGTTTCTGCTGGGCACCATTGGCTTTAGTAGAGCTAGAATTTCGTAGTTAAATGAAACCCACTGTGGTTCCTAACTCAAAAATCTTGAGAAGATATGGTATAATGTGTTATAATGTGGAAATGTAGTCTACAGGTTCACAGGTGTTAGCGTATTGGAGGGAGAAGAGCTGGAGTCGAATCCCAGTGCCCACTTACTAGCTACATGACCTTGGGCAAGTTGCTTTGCCTCTCTGAGCCCTAGTTTGCTTATCTGTAAAATGAATATAAAAACACTATCTCACATGGGGGCAGAGTAGGAAGAATATATATCACAGTGTCCTCATACAGAGCTGTTGTAGGAGGATCACTTGAGGCCAGGAGTTCAAGACCAGCCTGAGCAGCATAGTGAGCCCTCATTGCTCCAAAAAAAGTTTAAAATTAGCCAGGCGTGGTAGCACACACCTGTAGTTGAGGTGAGAGGACTGCTTGAGTCAGGACATCAAGGCTGCAGTGAGCTACGATCATGCCACCACACTCCAGCCTGGGTAATAGGGAAAGATCCTGTCCCTAAAAAAAATAAATAAGTAAAAATGTTGAAATAAGAACCAACTGGCTAAATTTATTATCTGGTGTTCCCAAGCCTATGAGAAAAAAAGACAATGTACTCTCCATTAAACTGAAGCTTGAATTTCGTGACTGTGCACATTATAGTTGGGTCACATGTTCTGCCTTATTTCAAAAGGATACCCCAGTGCTGGATTCCCTTAAGCTAGCAAGTCTTCTTCAGACCAATATTCATTTTTCTCTTTAACAGACATTCACTGTTTCTGGTTAAATTGATGGCTGCAGCATGAGCTTTTATTTCTCTTTAATCCTTTCCCAAGAAGCTAAATAAATGGGCAAAGCTAATGGGGGAGGGGGCAAAGGGTGGGAGGAAGGCTTTTCCAGCTGGGATCTATAGCCAGATTAGCCAGCCCAAGGCATCTGCAGTTGGGCTCCATGGAAATGTGGTCTGCTGGATCATCCGGAGGAGGAAGTGATAGCATCTTATCTCCTGGGATCAGGCTTTGAACAGGACTCCTGATTCAGAGGGGCTCTGGAGCTCCAGTGTGCCGTGGGTAGCTGGAGGAGCCATTGAAGCGGGGTCTACAAGAGGAGGGGCCTCCTAACCTGATTAGCACAGATGGAAACTGCTCAGAGCCAGACAAGGAATGGAGCCATGGGTCCACCAAGCAGACAGCCCTCTCTCTCACAGGCAGTGATTTACTGTGAGAATGGCCGGGGGTGGGACAGTTCAGAGTGACCTTTAATTCTGCTGAACTAGGAGGCTGGGATCTGTGGTCTGATTGTCTGAGAAACCCACTGACCTTGGAATGGTTTTTAGAGACAAGACCATGGCCATTGCCACCAGCTTTGCATTTCACAGCTCTGCCTCCAGATGGGCCACTCAGCATCACTGCCAACCCCAGCCAGCTTCACAGCCAGTGCCATGTGCAGTCCGCTCCACAGCCAGCCCTTCCCCTGTCTCTACCTACCCTCGTCTATGCACTGCCTACCTAGTGCCTCTGGAGTCTCTACTCACAGTCCCCTGCATAGCCCACCTGCTTGGCTGACTATCTTCCTTGGACCTGCTGGACAATGTGGGCTCAGAGTCTGGGGTTTGATGGGAATTCAAATGCACCCAAAATTGTGCAGCTGGCTCTGCACCCCGAGCAGCCGGCTCCCTGCAAGGCCTCAGGCATAGAAAGTCTGACTGTGCAGTGGACCTCCCAGACTTCAGGGTCCCTGCCCTTGCTGGCCAGCCAGTTTCACCTGTGAAACCTAATGGCGGTTTCACAGCCCAGTCTCAGCATTAATTTTTAACGTATAGGCAGCAGATTGGAGGAGAATCACCGAAAATTTACCACATGCCAACTGAGTGATCATTTTATGTGGCACTTGAGGGTCAGGTGTGTATGAAGAGGGGTTCCAAAGGCATTTCTTGAACTTCATAAATTAATGTAAAGGGCAACATGGTAACGCAGTGAATATTTAATGGGTGGGACTCCACAAGTTGAAGACTTTCATCAGACTAACAAGAGTCAGGTATGCCATAGAGGCTTGGACTCACCGCTTTTTAAGTGACTCTGTTTACCCCATTCCTAGGGGTGAAATACATGTTTGCAGTGTTTGTCCAGGGGATAAAATAAATCTCCTGGGGAGTTCAGAGAGGAGTGTGAGAGTGTTTGAGAATGATCAACTCACCCTTTGACATGTTAATGACAATCATACAAGTCTCCACTTCCTGGTTGGTACAACTAGAAGTTTTTTGCTACCCAAATAGCTGAGCTTGTTTCTAGTATTCGTCTGTCTGTGACACATTTGCTTTCAGGGATCAATGGCTTTCTCTGCAGGAGGGAAGAGGGATTGGGTGCGGTCAGGCTTAGGCGCAGGAAGTCTGAGCCCAACAAGAGGTCAGCATTGAAGGGTAAGGATCTCCTGACCCTCCCCTCTGCACCACCCTGACTCATTTATTTTTATTCCCACTTCCCAGACTTGAAAACTGAGGCTATTGCATGGCGGTGGTTCCTAGTCCCAGGTATTCTGTTTTCCACTGTGGGATTTTTCACCACAGCCAATCACTGGCTCTCCCCCTGGGAAGAGAAACGTCATTCCTGTGGTCTTTGTTCTGAAAGCAGACCTGGCCCAGGAAAGGCCTTGCCAGTGGGGAGGCTTACTCAGAGGCCAAGGCTGATCTGTTGATGAGGGGCCTCCTGAGTGGCCTGGTGCTCTGGGGGAACCCAGGTAGTAGAATCTCGCCATCTCCCTGACAGACCGAGGAGAAGGAGTTTCTAGGCTGAGATAAAGCAGATCCTGTCCCTTTTCTCCTTAAAGACCTTCAGAGGGCCGTGCACAGTGGCTTATGCCTGTAATCCCAGCACTTTGGGAGGCCAAGGTGAGCCGATTGCTTGAGCTCAGGGGTTTGAGACCATCCCGGGCAACATGGTGAAACCCCATCTCAGCAAAAAAATACAAAAAGTAGCTGGGTGGGATAGTGCATGCTTGTAGTCCCAGCTACTCAGGAGGCTGAGGTAGGAGGGTCACTGGAGCCTGGGAGGTAGAGGCTGCAGTGAACCATGATTGCACCATGGCACTCCAGTCTGGGTGACAGAGTGAGACCCTGTTTCAAAAAAACACAGGACTCTTTCAGAGGAGTCCCACTGCCCCCGAGAACATCTAAGCACCTCAGCTGAGCCCTCTGTGGGCTGGTTCCAAGTGCTGCTGG